CTTCTTACTACTACGTCCTTTGAACTGCGACGAAAACTTCGAGAGCGTGACGAGACGACCCAAAAACGTAATAATAGTCGATAGCTGCGGGTCGCAAACCTCTTCTAAACTTGTTTTAAAGCCATCAAACAAGTTATGTTAAATCTTTCTGAAGCTAAAAACAATAAGCAGAACTTGAAAACAGATTACACAAAAATAACAGCAAAGTCCTCAACCCCGATCGAACACTTCAGAAATAATGCTAAGCATAGTTATTTTGTAAATATAGACACCGATTCAGTCTCTACGAAGCTATGAATAATGGAACAGGTGGTAGCGATAACACGGACAGTATCTAAATAAATCATTCGTAACTGTTCGGCTATTGATGTTTTAAATTCATAATTCATGTAAGTTGATGGATAACTGGAAAAACGAATCTATGTACAGTATGTACGGCAAGAGCGTGACAGGCATGTTTTAATGAAAACCTTATTTTAAAACGATAGATTGGATTAATTGGGATTGTTATTATTGTTTGTTGCTTTAATATTAATGAGGCATCCAATCTCCATTATATTCTTTAATCACATGACACCTTCACTGCCAACTTTTCAGGTACTGCAAAGTAGAGAGCTCCATAAGGACTTCAATTCAAGAGTCAAGCCAGTTTTTTGTCCAGTCTTTAGTTTAAGCTAAATCCTGGCCCACCTGTTTTCAATGAGATTGGTTGATATCATAGGACGGCGCGTTAATACTCGTTTTCGTCTTCGAAGGCGTACAGAGTCGACTTTGGTGTGTAGGATCATTATCCTCATGTTGAACCCAGATAATTTTGGCATGGAAACATCTATGAGCCGATGGTAATAACGCTTTTCTGTGAATTTTCGATATCTACCGAACATCAAAGTACCGGTATAAACAAGTGTAAATATCAGAAACTCTTTTTCTTTTGAGAAGTACGCATGTTTATTAGGTGTTTTATGCTTCATTCCACCAGTCAACTATCAGCCGTAGTACAAGCTGGAACAGAGTTGAACCGGCTGTAAAAAAATAAGCTTCATCGGAAAAAATATCCTACCCCAATCGTGATATTTGTTTTCGCGTGCCCTATGCTTTGTTATTCATTATTTTGCTATTTTTCATAACTTTTTCAGAAAGTAGACACGTAGAAAAGGATTATTCTAGTAATAATACTAGAATAATCCTTTTCTATTATATATCCTTATATTTATTATGCCGGTCACGTGCTTTTCGAACACACTATACATATAAATGTCATTCTTAACAAATAAAATTTGTGAACTTAACCAAACCTTTTTCACAAAACTTAATCCTATTATTTAACAAACATATTTCCTTCCTCATTCTGGGTTGCCAGAGTATCTACGGTAAGATAGCTTTAGGCGGATTTAATAAACGTATATTATAGACATTACTACTATAAGTATTGGTTGAATAAAATTAAAGACCAGCTACGTTGCAAACCTTTAATTAGAGGACAATTCATAAAATCTTAACTTACATTTTAATACACGGCAATGAAACAATTCTAACGATTACTAGTAGATATTTCATTTCTATTAATTTGAAAGGGGGTTGTCTGACCTACCGACTTGTATCAATGACCTGTTAGTTCGGTTAGTCAGGCAAGCCACACCCCTCGACCTCATGAACTGTCACTGGACGAAATGTGTAAATGACCCAACGAACTCTTGACATATTCCGCTGACATCAATCGGTTAGTAGAAACTAAAGCAAATAGGCATAGATGTTTATTCATTGTAGCTTCAATTCGGCGCTTGCGTTCTACTCCCAAAATCCTGGTCGAAATCCCGGTAGGATCAAACACATGAGCAAGTTGTTTACATTATATAAACCTACTTATACGCACTCTGAACTCGTTAAGGGAATTTCAGAAAGAAATCAAGTTCGGAATTATTTCCTATCCCCAACAATTATGTTAATTAGGGTTCCGTACCTCAAAAGGAAAAACGGAACCCTTATAGGATCACTTTGTTGTCCGTCTGTCCGTCCGTCCGTCTGTCAAGACCCTTTTTCTCAGGAACGCGTGGAGGTATGAAGCTGAAATTTATATCAATTACTCAGGTCTACTGTCCCTTGAAGCTCTGAAACCGAAGCTGAAGAAAATCAAACTTCTAAGCCAACGCAATCAAAAGATACAGCCGTTTATGCCGCAAATTTTCGACACTTGCAAGGGAATCAAAACCTACAGGGTGCTTCCCGTGAACTCAGAATCTTGAAATTTGGTACCAAGCAACGTCTTATAGCATAGATAAAGGAAAAATTACGAAAACCATAAATTTTTAGTTACATCACATAATATATTTTTTTTTAATAATTTTAACCTTACTACCCATTTCCTCATAAACGCGTAGAGGTATTAAATTGAAATTCATACCAAATACTCAGGTCTATAATACCTTTAAGCTGTAACAAAATCAAACTTCTATGTCAACGCAATCAAAAGAAACAGCAATTTAAGCTGCATATTTTGAAACTCGCAAGTACTCGCAAGGGAATCAAAACCTAAAGGGTACTTCCAGTCGACCTAGAATCTTGAAATTTGGCATGAAGCAACGTTTTATAGCACACATAAAGGAAAAATTCCGAAAACCTTAAATTTTTAGTTACATTACAAAATATATATTTTTTAATGAATATAAACTTATTACTTTTTTCTTCATGAACGCGTAGAGCTATCAGGTTGAAATTCATATCAAATACTTAGATCTAATTGCCTTTAACCCGTGAAAAAAAAAAATCTAAGTCAACGCAAAACGCAAAAGTACAACCATATTACTTAAACGATAAAGAGATCTTTGTCTTAAATTTATGCTCCTCCATCTTTCCCCATTGTAATGTTATGAATTTCATTTTGCAATAAAAATACCATAGTTATGACTCGATTGTCGTAATGAACGAACTTTGTAAACCTTGCAGGTTTGTACGGAACCCTCGGTGCGCGAGTCCGACTCGCACTTGGCCGGTTTTTTTTTACTTCATCCTCTCGCTTTTCTTCCTTAGATATATCTGTTTTCCTGCCACTGATATTATTATATTTTTCTATAACACCCCTCCTCTTCTCCTTCATATTTATTTATCTTTCTATTATGGGTTGCCTGGAAGAGATTGCAGCAATGAGGCCGCCTATATTGTGTACGTTCTGTCTATCATGATTTAATTTACCTGTGTGTCATAAATGGTGTATTACAATAAAGAATACTATTATTATCATAAATTATATCGATCATTTAATAAACATAATAATCTTTGCGTAGTTTGTGGTTTTGGGGTTAATTAATTTGTGGGTGTTGGCCGTAGTGTTGAGTAGGACTTACAAGAGGCGGTACATTTGTCCCGGACATGACGCCAAATTGTAAGAGCGGCTCAAAATTTTAAAATGTACTACTTCACATTAAATGTCGCGATAGTCGCGTCTCGTTACTCACTCACTCTTCGTAAGTCTGAGAGAGAGAGCAAGGCATAACATTTCATTTAAGTCCTCTACGCACTATCCATCTGTATCTTTATCTGTTTTACGTGTATAGCGCTGTCCTGCATGCTAGATCCAGCAAGATTGATAGTGCGTAGAGGAGGTGCTACTCGTGCACACAAACGTAATGTCGAGCTTCTGTACGCCTCAATGTCATATTTGTACTCGTCACTTCAAATGTATTGCCGAGCTTCAGTACGCCTCGCCTCATTTGAAGTGAGACATTGTACTGGTTCAGTACAAAAAAGAGGCTACTCTTACAAACTCTTTTTCAAGTCGTGTCCTACCCAACACTAGTTGGCCGGAATTGTCTTTCGATATGTTGCATAGAAGAGAAAGGAAATTTTAGCACAATGTAAAAACCTTACCTTACTGCTAAGTTTCACGTAAAAATATATCAAGGCTTATTTGGAAACTCACTGAAGATGGGCTGGATGGATTTTTGGCAATATTCTGTTTCATGACAAATATTCAGACTAATGACAATACAAAAAAATATTAACAATAAAAAAAATGTTTAATGGTGTCACAACTATGTAGAACGTCACGCTAACCAGCATGGAATAATGACTTACTCATATTATTTATTGTTAGAATGTGAGGGTGAACAATCAATTGATCAATAAAAGTCCATAAAAGTTTCATCAAATTCTGTGAATAGACTTGGGGAGGTTTATAAATTGAATTTCGACAGTAAGTGAAATTAAAGCGTGCATTAGGGGATATAAATGATAGAGGCTAATATCCTAAAATCCTAATTTTGATTAATTGTCAATTTTATGGTCATTCTAATTGAACAGAAACATTGGTATTGCATTAAAACTAGAAAATCAAGCAATTCTGAAGTTTATGTAGCAATAAATTCGAATTGTTAATAAAAATAAGTTTTTTTTTTATTTGGGTACAAAATTTTATACATTCCTGTATACGTGATCTATACTAATATTACAAAGAGGTGAAGTTTGTACTTTGTAGGAATTAATCTCTGGAACTACTGAAGCGATTATGGAAATTCTTTCACCTATAGGAATTCACATTATTTCTGCCTGAATGACATAAAACTATTTATTATTCGTTGAAATGATTATCACCCATTCAAATCCGGGGTGAGTCGCTAGTCTTTAATATTTATGGTTAACACCATTTTTCCACACATATTTTTTATTATTCTCATAAGTACCTACTAATTTTCTCTCTGTGCAAGCAGGAATGCTATAATGGTTGATACAATTGCTAATGTTAAAATCTTAATTTCGTCAAGTTCATAACTTAGAGGAGCAACTATTAATATGCTATGACGGTAATATATGTAGGCAACTATTCCTCAATTATCATTAGTAACTTCAAACTTAGTAATAAGGCAAGGTAGAATAAGATTTTGCTGAGTTAGGGGCCTAGTTGGCATTTCAACTTGTATTGTTATTCCATACCTAATTTATTAAGTAATGTTGTTGAATGCTAACAACATCTTTCTCTCTTTCTAGAAAATAATTTTACCACATACCTGTCATGTTGTATCAACGCTATGGAGCTCGCCACCAAGTCCTCAAACTGCTTCTCGCTGGCCGAACTTCCCTGTCTCTTGTGATGGTGTGGAGTGTTCGCGGCCGAAGATACTGGTGTCAGGGTCTTCTGCGCTTCCGAGGTAAGCGTCTTCGCGGCGAGATTCTGGGTACTCTTGCTTCCGAACAGCTTCCAAGTGGAAGACTGGCTCTCCTGGCTTTTGGAGCTGCTCTTCCAAGGAAACACGCCTCTGTAACAAAACAAAAGAAATTTGTTAGTATTAGTACACTCTATCTTTACGCTGTAACTGAAAGTCTGGAGTGTAGGAGACACAGAAACAAGAGCGAAAAGACTTGGTGCTTACCACAAGCCAAGGTATGTAGTCCCTACGTGTGTTTGTATATTACTTCTTTATTTTTTAAAAACCTTCCCAGGTATTCATGATTTTTGAGATCAAGTACATAGTTCTTCATTTTATTATTTCAGTATTTAACTGCTACGTTTTTTAAGCAGTAACTCATCTGAGATTTGCATCTTTTGTAATATTTTCTTACACCTTAAATCATACATTAACGAAATTTGGTAAAATACAAAAAAATAACCATGCATAACGTAATGTTGGATGTTAAAAATATGCGTCGAGATAAAATGTCAAGATAATTGAAAGTTTGTTTAATCCAGTGCCTACCAAATAAGTTATGCTAGTACAAGGATAGACAAACTCGAGACCAAAAATGTAGACGACTTTTGGTTACTCATTCGATCCTGATCTTCGTGAAAGCTGATCTGATAAAGCGCTTATCACTCTCCCATCTAAGTCCTTCAAAGCAAAATCTAGTTTTACATTACAGTTTAAATAACAATTCACACCTTCATTGAAGGTACAGTCCTACAGAAAAGGACTCTTCGACAGAACATCTTAATCACTAAGCACTAAGAGGGACTCGTCGACTAAGCACTTTCACACTTTATCACTAAGACTAAGACTAAGAGCTGTATTCATAGTAATGAGAGTATCCACTTTCGCGGCCTCTGTACCCACACGTGACTATCGCTCCAATAGTGTGCCACGAGGTTTCTAATCTATACGGTTTATTGGAAACTATTCGCACCAGTTGCGCATTTATGGCAATTCGCGATTGCGATTGCGACCGACTAATATTCCTTTCGTGGCAAATTATGAATTTTGTATTATTCATAATATGAATGTATTATTAACTAGCACAAAGTGATTGCGAAATGATGCTGGAGTTGCGTTTCGTAAGAAATGTCAATTATCAAAATTGTTCAAATATAACCGTGGTGATGAAAAATATAGTTGTGGCCTTGGGTGAAATTCGAACCCGAGATTATAGAAAACACCAGGCTAAGTGTGTAACATTCAACCAACACGGTCATCGATAATACATCTTTTAGTGCCTAAACCGTAATAATGCAGACGATAAACATTCAGTATGACACTTGAAGTCAAATCCTGGACAACAATATTTCCTTCGTCTAATTTTACTTTATTTATAAATTATGCAGGTATGTCAGACAAAGCAAGCCAGCTAGTACAAAGAATCAGTTTCTCGAGTCTAGTGCTAACTGCGAAGCTAAGAAGTCGGAAAAGCATTGTGTGATAATCGAGAAATCAACTTGTGGGAAGCGAGTGACAAATCGGTACAGTTCACGGGTTTTTGCTTAACTTCAAACAGTCGTTATTGTTTCCTAACTTTCAGTAGACAAAGCCATTATTGAACATCAAACAAGTTTACTACAGTTCGAGAACCGAGAAAAGAAATAGTAATTGGGATTGAATTTTAGTATACCGTGAGACCGTTTGGGTCATTCCATTTCGCACGCAACCTTTGCCAGTTCTTTAAAGTTGTGAATATCTACACAATTTATAGCTTAAATTAATAAAAAGATGCCAAACCACCAGAATCTGATAATAAGCAATGCTCAGAAACACTATTTATAGTTTTTCTGAAGGGTAAACTAACATCAAAATGCATTGTCCGGTGGTGTTCTAACATGCTGAAAGTGCAACTTTGAATTTTTTTCAAATATTTGTAGTTCTTTCTAGCCCTTCTTAGGCTGCAAGGCAGCGCCGTCTCTTCGCATTGTAGGTAACCGATAATCTCAAATGAATTCATTTACAAGTATTAAACATTTAAAAGAAGAAATAGCAATTATAGTTATATTTTTTGACAAAATTGTGAATCTAAACCATTCTCAGATCCCCTTGAACACACACAAAAAATTTCATCAAAATCGGTCCAGTCGTTTAAGAGAAGTTCAGTGACATACACACTCACAGAAGAATTATATTTATATTATATTTGTAGTTTTTAAATTTAAGGTTATGAGAAATTGATGCATACGCAAGAGTTTGGCATATTTTTTATATTGATTCAAATCTGAAAGTGTTCAAATATTTTTAGATCACTATGGTTATAGAACCTGAAGGAAAAGTTAAGAAATTGTATCGGAAATGACACAACAGTATATTAGCAATGAAAATCACAGTAGTGCATGGAATCGTTTTCGAAAATTCTTATTTAAATTTTACACAATACAACATAAATAGGGGTGATTTCAGCGCTTATATTTTACTAATAGAACAGATTATTAGAAAAATTTATCGTTAGGTATTTTAAGTATAAATCTAAGAACGTAGGTGACAATAAATATAAAATATGTTCATGTTTTCCTTCAAGATCGCTCCTTAGCTATCTTTTATATGTGTGAGACCTGTAACACCCGTTACATGGAATAACCCGTATACAGATAATATAACTGAAGAAAGTTTTCTAGCCTCGACACAAACATCCATTTGAATAACAAGCAGTATAAATAGAGACAAAGTTGCACACGAAGGGGTGCATTAAGGAAACCCCAAAAAGTCAGTACTAGAACAATGTGAGCCCCGTTACATGAAATAACCCGTATCTAATAATATAACTGAAGAAACTTTTCTAGTCTCGACACAAACATCTATTGGAATAACAAGCAGTAGGAATAGAGACAAAGTTGCACACGAAGGGGTGCATTAGGGAAACCCCAAAATGTCAATACTTGAACAATGTGAGCCCCGTTACATGAAATAACCCGTATCTAATAATATAACTGAAGAAACTTTTCTAGTCTCGACACAAACATCTATTGGAATAACAAGCAGTAGGAATAGAGACAAAGTTGCACACGAAGGGGTGCATTAGGGAAACCCCAAAATGTCAATACTTGAACAATGTGAGCCCCGTTACATGAAATAACCCGTATCTAATAATATAACTGAAGAAACTTTTCTAGTCTCGACACAAATATCTATTGGAATAATAAGTAGAAGGAATAGAGACAAAGTTGCACACGAAGGGGTGCATTAGGGAAACCCCAAAATGTCAATACTTGAACAATGTGAGCCCCGTTACATGAAATAACCCGTATCTAATAATATAACTGAAGAAACTTTTCTAGTCTCGACACAAACATCTATTGGAATAACAAGCAGTAGGAATAGAGACAAAGTTGCACACGAAGGGGTGCATTAGGGAAACCCCAAAATGTCATTACTTTAACAATATGAGCCGCGTTACACGGAATAGCCCGTATCCAATAATATAACTGAAGAAACTTTTCTAGTCTCGACACAAACATCTATTGGAATAACAAGCAGTAGGAATAGAGACAAAGTTGCACACGTAGGGGTGCATTAGGGAAACCCCAAAATGTCATTACTTTAACAATATGAGCCGCGTTACACGGAATAGCCCGTATCCAATAATATAACTGAAGAAACTTTTCGATCATCGACACAAACATCCATTGGAATAACAAGCAGTAGAAATAGAGACAAAGTTGCACACGAAGGGGTGTATTAGGGAAACCCCGAAATGTCATTACTTTAACAATGTGAGCCGCGTTACATGGAATAGCCCGTATCCAATAATATAACTGAAGAAACTTTTCGATCATCGACACAAACATCGATTGGAATAACAAGCAGTAGAAATAGTGACAAAGTTGCACACGAAGGGGTGTATTAGGGAAACCCCAAAATGTCATTGCTTTTTAACAATATGAGCCGCGTTTGTGAAGGCTACATTATTAACATAAATGTTAACGGAACATTATAAAAAGAGGAATTCAATTCTGTTGAAAATAAAGATCGTGCTGGGCCCTTGAAAATAAATTTACTGACAATCAATTTTAACTTACTTGAGGATTAATGAGGCGCACCTAGACAATTGGAATAGTGTTAATGCAAACTAAATGAAATCAAGGTGTACTGTATGTTTAGTGTTATGAGTGACAAGTAGAACCTAAGTCCGGTGTGGTGTTCCAAGGCGAGCTTGAGTGCTCCAACCTTGGGTCCAGTACGCTGTCCGCAAAGCTCCTCCAATTAGCACTGCACAACTCCTTTTGCCCACAGTGAATCAAACAAAACTACTTGAACGCACTGCCGATCGCGTAATTTAAATACCGAGAAACAAAATTCAAGATGCAAATTCCGTTGCAAAAAAACCCGGCCCGAGCACCACGCCGTTCAGCGGCTAGCCTAAGTATCTAGACAAAACGACCGCGCGTTCGCCGTGAGAGTTTTTCCAGACTACCCTATTTTAGCCCGTTTTAGACTAAACATCCCCCCACCCAAAGCGGCCGTGCCACTTTCTAGTCTCGTCCTGGATACTAGTCTACCGGTAGACGGGCGAGGGTTGCGACCGCGCGATTAAGAGTAGAGCCATCAACCAACACTTGCACCATTCGCGGAGTCCCGTCCGCGCCAGGAATTAACTTTAAGATGCGACCCCGTCGCCAGAACAACGATGGCAAATTAGCCTCCTTCAATAAAACCAGATCTCCTTCCGAAGGGGGAGAAGTCCGGTCTGTCCACTTTACACGTTGTTGCAATAGGTGCAGATATTCCAGTGACCAACGACGCCACAAGTCCTGACCCATTTGCTGCAACATTTGAAAGCGAGACAATCGATGTCTGCGCTCATCCGTCCAGGGATATTCGGGCAGGGCCGTGAGCGGCTGCCCGATCAAGAAATGACCAGGGGTCAGGACTTCCAAGTCATTTGGATCAGAAGAAAGAGGACAGAGCGGACGCGAATTGAGGACCGCCTCAATCTTACAAAAAATAGTGGTGAGTTCCTCATAAGTGAGAGTAGTTTCCCCGACTACTCGGTGCAAGTGGGTTTTTGCTGATTTTACAGCGGCTTCAAATATCCCGCCCCAGTGGGGACACGCTGGCACACTAAATCG